CTCCCCATTTCCCCTGCCCCCAGCCCCTGGAAACTACCATTCTCCTCTCTGCTTCTGCGAGGTTTGACTATTTTAGATCGCTCAGACAAGTGGGATCATGCAGTATTTGCCCTTCTGCGACTGGCTTGTTTCACTTAGCATAATGTCCTCTAGGTTCATCTGTGGTTGTCAAATATGGCAAGATTCCTTTCTTTTTTGAGGCTGAATAATATTCTATTGCACGTATATACCACATTTTCTTTATCCGTTCATCCACCAGTGGACATTTAGGTTGTTTGTATGTCTTGGCTGTTGTGAATAGTGCTGCAGTGAACACAGGAGTGTAGATCTCTTAGAGATCCTGACTTCAGTTGCCTTGGATATGTGCCTAGCAGTGGGATTGCTGGATCATGTGGTAGTTCTGTTTTTAATTTTTTAGGGGACCTCCATACTGTGCTCCGTAGTGGCTATACTAATTTACATTCCTACCAGTAGTGTGTGAAGGTTTCACTTTCTCCACCTCCTCGCCAATACTTGCTATCCTTTCTTTTCTTTTTGATAATAGGTATCCTAACAGGTGTGAAGTGATGATATCTTCTTGTGGTTTTGATTTGCATTTCGCTGGTGATTAGTGATGTTGAGCATCTTTTCATACACCTGTTGGTCATTTGAATGTAGTCTTTGGAGAAATGTCTGTTCAAGTCTGTTACCCCTTATTTAATCAGGTTATTTGGTTTTTGATATTGAATTAAATTGTCCTTTTTGAAACTCTCCTCAGTTACCTGTTTGGGTGTCTCACCTGGCTTGCTGGGACCCTGACATGCAGGAGGCAGCAGCTCAGAAGGCAGAGCATGACTGAGGGTTTATAGTGTCCCACAGGGGCTACAGGAGGAAGCCTTCCCTTGGGCTGCCCCTGCCGAGGCTTCCCGGGGGAAAGCTGAGACTCTGGGCGGGAATGCAGGAGTTTGGTGAAGATGGGTTTGACCTTGTCTCCAGGTGAGGCCATGGCTTCTCTATTGCCTTCCAGGTAGCCCCCTGCACTATGTGCGGCAGGAAAACCTGTTTGTGTGAGGAAGCCCACATTCTGGGCATACATATTTGATGCCCAGATGGTGCCTGTATTTACAAAAGCCCAGCACACTGACAGGACCTGCAGACACATGGATAAATATTTTGCCTTTCTTCTTAGGCAATATTTGAATCTTTCAAATTTAATTGCTGTCAAAGGCAGGATGCTTGCGATCCCCGAGGCAAAGCAAATAGCGAGGGCCTCCAGCGAGGCTGCTCCAGGCGGGCTCCCTGGCAAGCCACCTGCAGGGTCTGTCGTGGCTTCTTGCTCTTGCTGAGTGTCACGTGGCCTCTTCCCTCCCTGGCCGGTGGGCTGGAGTTGGGGGAAGCTAAGGGAGCTGGCTCCAGCCTGCCTGGAACCTGTGGCAACTTGTTGAGTTTGTGTTGAGGCTGTGAGAATCTGACCTTAGCTAAGAAATTAGGTACTTTTCTAGGACACGAGTGAGTCACTCATCTGGCCATCCCCTGTGGGATTTGGTTTTGTGCTCCAAGGCTGGGTCTGAGAGTGTTTTGTTTGATCCTGGAATTATTACATGCAGGGCTACTGCTAGCTCGTATGGCATCTTTGTGCAAATCAGACAAAGGTAGCCCCTCTGATGGGGCAGACGCCTCACCTCACCAAGGTGCAAGGCGTGGCAAGCAGAGCAGCAGCTGGATTTCAGCCCTCAGGCATCCCTGGCAGGTGCCCTTGTGCAGGGCACAAGCTGCCCAACTGTACATGTCCAAGGCAATTGCTGCTGGTGTTCTTGTTAGAACTGTCTACCCTTTATATCTTCTTCCCTTTCTTTTCTTCTTCTTTTTTTTTTTTTCTTCAAAAACCGTTGACCTAGTTGTCTCTTGGATTATGTTTACCAAGTACAGCGAGATACTGTTCTGTGATTATATGTGGTTTTCTTTTTTAGAAGAGTACAGATTGGCATGATATATGTGGTTTTCTTCTACTGCACTGTGATTGGTAAACCTATTCCCTGCCCAGACAGGGAAGAGATGTTTGCTGCAGACTCACAGAGTTCTGTAGCAATCCCCTCCTTTAATTCATTACGTTTTAATTTGCCCCAATTATTTTAATTCCTTGCGTGTAATAAAAGCAGTGGGACTCTTCGCCCACTCTGGTCTTACGAAGGGCACCGCATACTATTCATTCCCTTCCTCGAAGCACATTTTATTGGTGCTTACATCATGCTAGGGGCTGGGGAGATAAAGACGAATGAACAAGACAACATCCCTGCCCTTGAGAAACTCATAATCTAGTGGGGGAGTGAGGCGTGTAAACAGATAAATCACAGCGCAGTGGTGTTTGCTGCAGGAAGAACAGAAGCACTGGGTGCAGGGAGGAGAGGAGGGGAGCCGCGCTGTTGCACCGCCACTGCTGGGTGCTGTTCTAGATGTGAAGGCTTTGCTGAGCAGCTGCCATCTGAGCCACCTCTGAGGGTGAGCAGGTGTTTATCAGGGGAAGAGACGCAGGAAGAGACTAGGTGCGAAGTCAGGGATGGATACGGCGTGTGGTTCAGGAGAAGGCGGGAAGGTTGCCTGGCTGGAGCCCAGCGTGTGTGAAGGCTGGGGCCCACGGGAGCTGGGGCGGGGGCTGGGCTGTTATGCCCGAGGAGCATGGGGCTTTTCCTGTGTGTAAAGAGGCCAGCAGATGCCTTTGTGCAGGGTACGATGCCATCACATTTTCCTTTATGGCCTGGTGGAGGGGGCTCTCTGGTCACACAGTCTTGGGTTCTAATCCTGACATTGCTGCTTCCTTCGGTGAGTCATTTAACCTTCCCGAGCCCCCATTTTCTCATTTGTGACATAGGGATGACAAGGATAATAATGCTTACTTAATTGGGCTGTGGCGTGGATTAAACAATTAAATGACACAATATCCATAACAGAGTTTCCTGCTGGTAGGACAGGCATAGAACCCATGAATGGTTCCAGGGGTATTGGACGTGCTGGTTCCTTCAGCCCCCAGGGAACCTGGACAGGGCCCGGGGCAGCCTCAGCTGTTTTCTCCAGGGTCCTTATAAACATCCCTGTGTGCGCCATGACATGAGTACAGTGGGAAATTGCTCACCTGCAAAGCACTTAGTCTTTCCTACCTAGTAAGTCCTCTATAAATGTGGTTGTTTGTTGAGATAGGTCATTGTATTAAGACCACTACTGCAGAGGGAGTGGGAACAGAGAGGAGTGGCTGGACTCAAGGGACGTTTCTGAAGTAGAACTGGCAGAGTTTGGTGACCAGGTGGATGTCAGGAAGGAGGGCACTGTTTGGGAGGGGGCGGCTTGGGGATGACTGCAGGAGTTATGATGCTGTAGACTGGATAGGAGGCGATGCTATTAATGGAAATCGTTAGTGGAAGTTGGAGTGTGGGGTTTTTGGTGTGAATTCAAGTCGAGGCAGTAGAGACTGTCTGGTAGAGTACCTTTTCAACAAGTTTTGCAAGTTAAGGAAGGAGGATGACAAGATGCAGGTGTGAGGAGGAGGTGTGTCTTGGGGGAATGCTGGGGACATGCAAGGGCTTTCAGGATGCTAGTGGGCTACAGGGAAAGAGGCAGAGGAGTTGAAAAACTGAAGATACAGGAAAAGAGTGTGTAGCGCTTTCCAGAACTTTGCCTCTTTGGACAGTGTCCGTCCCGTTGGGGGACTGTCTGCCAATAACTGGCAGCTGGGCAGTTGTCCAGATATGATTTACAATGAGGCATCAGTTTCATGAGGCACTGTCTAAATTATTGCACTTCACCAATTGCCAGGTTCCCCGCTGACAGTGGGCCAGGGGTCAAACAATTCAATCAGGTGTCACCAGTTATAAATTGAAAATCAGCGGGGTGCAAAATGGATTACCATCAAAGTCCATTCAGGTGCAAAACCAGATTTCAAACCCCTAACCTTTAAAAATCACCCCTTTCCTGATTCTTCACAATGCCCTGACATTGAGTTTTAATATCCCCCAGATAAGCAAGCATCAATAGAAATGCCTGCAGGAGACCCAGAGTAACAAGGGAAGAGTTCCTGATTGTGCCTTCCTTTTGGAATTTGCAAACACGGTGGATTTATGAATTCATAAATTGGCAGTTCTGTCAGCTTCTCTAAGGCACCGCACCGGTTCTCAAATTTGAGCATGGACAAATCACATGGAGGGCTTATTTAAATTCTGATTGCCAGGCTCTGCCTCCGAGTTTGATTCTGTAGATCTGGGGTTGGGCCTGAGAAGTTGCATTTCTAGCAAGTTCCCAGGGGGTGTTGATGTTCTTGGTCCAGGGAACACACTTTGAGAATCTCATCTTTAACATCTAGGAACGTTTTGATAATTTGACTAGCAAATCATGCTTTGATTAATAACAACTTATCATAAAGGTCTTATGGGACCAGGTGTTGAGTCTGCTAAGGGATCACAGTTTTGTCCAAGAAACCTCAAAAGAGACTGGTTCAAAGAGATACAGATTGATTTGAGTGCTTTGTGTTCAGAGGTGATACTGGGGAGAATGGAGAGAGAAAAGGCAAGAAGACCCCCCCATTCCAGCTCACCATTCCAGAAGATTGTGCATGCTAAAAGAACAAATAACATCGTTGAGGCCAAAGCCTGCTCTCTACTGGCCCCTGAGTGGAAACGTAAATGTCTTTTGATGCCAAACTTAATCTCTTAACTTGAAAGTTGATTTTCTTAAGAAGGTTAGACAAACATGGGTAGTACTTTCTCAGCAAGCTGTTATGAGCCTAAACTTTGGCTCTTCCCACCCCTGCATGATCCCAGGGATGTATTTTTCTATCTAAATCAATGCTGTTTGATTGTAGTTCTACTCTCTTGCTCTTTTTTACTTGAAGTTACTGCCTTGTATAAACCGTAGTTGTCACCAGACCCAATACGAAACAAGTCCCTTTCTCCAAGACAGAAAAATAGATCCCAGAACTACTGCAGATGTGGTCATTGCCTCATTAACATTGGTTTCTTGTTTCTCTTTTCCAGGAGAAATTGAGCGATGCACATACATCAAATACCACTACTCCTCAGCCACCATCCCCAGAAACCTCACTTTCAATATCACGAAGACCATCCGTCAGGACGAGTGGCATGCCCTACGTAAGTACACCTGAGCCCCTTGGCCATGACTGTGCTGTGATGTCACCTTTGGAGGGCTCAGAGGATAGGATGCCTCCTTCTTAGATCTGTGGACAGTCTCAGAACATTATGGTGGTTCCTTAACAGTGGAGTGCCAATATCTGTGGGTCAGAATTGCCTTGGTTGGTTTTGATTGCATTACAGATTTGGGGAGTTTGCTTCCAAAATTAAAAAAAAAAAAACCCAACAACCAAAAACCAAAAGACAACTAGCAGTTAGATAATTATCTTATTTCACTACCCTGGTAGGCATCTAAGATTTCACCTACCCGATTGACTAATAGCCATTTCTAGAGATGTTAATCAGCACATGGGGACAGAGAGCTAGCTCATCCAAGGATTTAACTTGAATATGTCTCCAGATTGCTTGGAATATTACTGTGGTAACCTGTTAGTCCCTCGGGTTGTCATCTGTAAAGGGTGAGACCAGCTGCTGGTTGCAGGCTGCCTCGCATTGGGGATTTGCTTCTGGGTGGGTCGGGGTAGAATCTGGTCTCAACTTGCAAGTTTCTGTTTACCTTTGAATGATTGTCTATGGGATTCTGATTCTTGTGCAATTGTTCAGCAAAGATCAGAATATCTGCATCCATCGGTGAGGGACTTTCTTGGCTAGGGATCCTCAGAGACTTAAATTACAACGAGAGGGTGACTTAATGAGCAAATAGAGTTCGGTGGCTATTTTTACTCTTCTGCTTTGTGGGGATGCACTGCCTGTCTGGCCGGAGCTCTCCTTCCTTGCAGGCGCAGTTCCTCATGCTGACACATTCAGTAAGCTCCATGCTGCCTCTGTTGCATTCATCACCATCTTTTTGTGTCTAATGTTGAAAGGTTAAGGTTCAGTTTACATTTATATGCGAATGAGTGTTCTTTTATTGTTTCCTGGTAATAAGGATCCCTTAATTGGCAAACTTTGAAGAAGGCAGCTCTCTAGGCTGAAAACATTTCTCTTCTCTTTATTGTTGTCTGTTCTCTTGTGCATGCATTGGGCCCACTAAGTGTATTCCCCTATGTGGTTTGGCTTTAATTAAATACCCACAGCTTGGGGTAGGGGATGGGGAGGTAAGACAGACAAGTAAAGTTAAAGAAAACAGAACCATCATTCATTGGTTTCAAGAAAAATATTGTGGCTGGGTGTCCAGATGATTGTCACTAAATGCTCCTGGCCTGAAATGACAGAGCAGGTGCCATTGGTTGGGCAAAACAAACCAGACTGTTGCCCCTACAAGCCTTCTCCATTTTTAGAGATATTAACCAGCACATGGGGACAAAGAGCTTGTGTTCAAAGAGCATTCCCATGTGCTAGACATCGAGCAAGGCATACAACGTATTTAATTTTAATGTTACATTTGCCTTAGAGACACTAGTAATCAGGGTTATTAATTTCTTTTTGGAGGTAGATGTGAAAGGGCCCAAATAGAGAAATATACAATAGCTATTATTTCCTACAATGCAGTGGTCTATATAGTCACTTATTAGGAACCTAAAAGGGATATTCAAGATCAATAAGTCCTGTTGATTAAACACTTAAATCTAACTTAAGTTTTGGGCGTCATCATAGGATTCAGAATCTAAGAAGGAAGACATTATTGACATAGCAGCTTCAATCCTAATCAACTCAGTGTAACCTAAGTTACTGAGTCTCTGTATGTACCAGGCACGCAGTGGATAACGAGGCCACAGAAGCTCTTTTAAGGAGCCCACATCCGGGAGTGGAGGAGGTAGAGGGTGGGGAGAGACATTCACAGAGCAAATAATTACAAGGCAATGCGATAATTACAATATAGTAGAATTGCTTTAAGCAATTAAGATAGTTTGTGGAAATTTCTCAGCAAGAAGGAGAACCATTTTAGTGTAAATTGCACAGATGCACTTCAAGGGAAACCTGGCAGAACTCTGTTGGCTATGCACACTGTAGATATCTGCAATTCCAAGAGATTACCCACGGAGGGATCACAGCAAACAGCTCACCTGGCATCGGCAAGGACAAGAGGATAGGCTAATGCCCAGGTTTGTGGGGGCTTCTCTGAGCCCTGTGTGTCCCCAGGGCCCTTATTCCAAGCTGTAGTGCTATTGGGTTCTGCAGAATCTAGTGTGTGGCTTCTGCTGTGAATTGGGGTGCTAACAGATCTATTTTTAACTGATAAAAGCCATCTCAACGATTGATATATGAAAAGGCCTTGGGCACCTGGTGTCGGGTGAAGTCGAGGCCACCCTTTGGTGAGGGATTCATCTGCCTGTTTCTCAGAGTCGCCTAATGGGCTGTTAGGCAGAGAGAGAGAGAACATTTGCCACTTCTGACATCGGTGACAGCTATTTTTAGCCAGAGGGCAGGTGAGCATCTGTCACAGCCGAGGTTGCTACTAAGTGGCATTGGGAATGCTGGCCTGATGGTAAAGCATGGAAGTGTCCCTCGTAATTTTCAGAGGTCAGAGAGTGATGTCATCAGGTGAGAAGTAGGCACACGAGCCCCCTTTGGAGTCAAGTAGAAACTGTTAAAGATTAACAAACTCCTGCGGTCAAGCGCTGGAAACGGAAAAAATCAGACTCGGATTTCTTTATTTGGTTTAAGAATCCTTTAACACTCTAAGTGGGATCGAATAAATTCACTTGATACTAGATTGGTTATCGTTTTGTAATTTGGCCATAAAATCTTATGTTTGGTAATTTTTCTCAGTAGATGATTTTTGCCAAGGGAAAGAATTTTTTTTCCCCCTGAAACAACTTCTGGCAAATATCTGGACTTTGGTTAAACTCGTGTTATATACTTTTCGCCAGGGCTTTGCATGTGGTCTGATCGTCACTTTTTTCCATTGATGTGGAAAAAATTTTCAAATAGGAAAAAGCACAATTTGGTTTAAAACTATGTTGGGGTTTTTGAAAATTAATCCCACCAAGGGGGGTTAATTAACCGCTGGGCTGTGAGCTCGTGCACCTACGGCCAGGTGACTGGAAGTGAAGGGATAAAATATTCTTAGGCCACTCGGCTCACAAATCCGAGTGAGAAGAGAGAGTGATCTCCAGAGGAGTGAAGGCCAGAGGATCAGCCTGTGGTGGGGGTGGGGGGGCAAGAGGAGTGGTCTTGTGTATGAGGTTTGAGCGCTGAGTTGTCTGGGTGATTTGGTGACAAGGTTCTGACTCTGGCTTGGATGGTGATTGTTGGTGGGGTGTCGTGGGTGCCTGTTTCTCCTTCCCACCCTGGGAAAAGGCAGAACTCTTTCCGGAATTGGGATCCATGTCCTCAGTCCACCCAGGCCATGCTGTCCACCTGTTGTAGCCCACTTGCCTTCCCACCCACCCACTGCCTCCTTTTAGGTGCCAGTGGCCCTGGGTGGGCAGTGGGCAGTGAGAACAGTGTTTGTCCTGCCTCTAGGGGCTCTGGGTGAGCTGCATTCCTGATCTAGGTCTGACGGCTGCCTCTAGGGCAGAGCAGGACAGGCCAGTGAGGAGGGGAAGGTGGCCGCGGGAGATGATCTTGGCTAATGCCACTCCTGGTGGGTTGTCTGGTTTAACGTTTTGTATATGACAGAATTCAGCCGGCAGTGGTCAGGGGGAGCAGTAGCATCATAAACGGTGCTGCTTCTTCCTCTCACATGAATACGTCCCCACAGGCTTTTCAGATCCCGCGGTTCAGTCTGTGGTGGCAGTACTCATTTGGAGAATTCTGTGTCCTCATGCAACCCCCAAAATCCCTTGAGGCCATCCTGAGTGGCTCTGCCTTTGTTCTCCCCGCCACTGGTGTCCCTTTGGCATGCCCCTCGGCACAGCCAGGCACCTGGCCTCTTGCCCAGTGGCAGGGTAAGGAGACATGGATGGTCACGAGCCTGGGTGGCGTGTGATGGGGCCTGGGTGGCCAGGATGGGCTCTGGCAGAGGGAGGAGGCCCAGAAAGCAGGGTCTGGGAAGATGTCATTGAGAGGTGAGAGCTGTCGCAAGAAGGAGCTGGGATGGTGTGGAGCTGGGCCTTGGGCTGCACCAGCAGGACCCCAGGGAGGTTGGCAGGGGGAACCCCATGGCAGAGCCTGCCTGAGGTGTCAGGGCAGGCACCCACTGGACAGCGTGACAAAGGTGGCCCTTGCTTGGCCCCCAATCTCCTGATCGCTGGGCAGGGCCTCTGTGGGCAGCTGTACTGAGGTTCCTTCAGGGTCGGAGCCCTGACTTGAAGTGAGCTCGGATGTTCTCATTCTGCTTGGCATTTTCAAGATGGAGGTTTCAGCTTGCGGTCGATTGCCCCTGGAGTGGGAATACGGGAGCTGGGACCCCACTTGCCTGCAATCAGATCCTCTCCGTTATTTTTCAAGAGGCTGAGAGCCAAGAAAGCTGGAGAGTTTTTTTGAAGCTTCCTTCTGTCAGGACTGAGGGTTCAACTAATTGGATTGGATGGTCACACAGCACATTTCCAGCTGGCTGGGGAGGGAGAGAGGGAGAGATGATTTCCCTCCTCACTCCGGCCCTGCCCCCCACGCCCCCAGACACACACACACACACACACACACACACATACATACACACACAAGCTGACACAGTGGCCCTGCGGCTGTTGCCTCAGGCAAACTGAGCACTAACTAGGACCCAGCAGAACAGGTGCCTCATCCGTGTCATGAGGGCCCTGCGCCTTTGCCCACCCAGCGGGGCTCTGCACTGGTGGGGGTGGGGCAAAGAATGTGGGAGCCATCCTGAAGCAGGGTGCAGGGAGCACAGGGAAAGTCAAGCTTGGCTGGAAGAGGGAGGGCGAGGAGAGAGAAGAAGAAAGAGGGAAGGGAAGCAGGCAGAGCTGGAGACTGAGGCTTTGTGGAGGAACAGGGACATTTTAGTGAACACATCACTAAGAGGGACAAACTACTGCAGACAGGTGGGTGACACACTGGGCTCCCTGTCCCTGAAGTTCTTGACCTCTCACCCTTGCCTGTGGGTTAGCTCACTCTTGGGGTCCAGCCCTGACCCCAGGCTGGTATGTAAGTAAGAA